ATACTTAAAGTCTGCTATATTGAAACAACTAATTTTGAACTTATCTGGAAATAGTGCTGAGGTCAAACTAAAGATATAATTGATATAAAGTTATATTGGATTGTGCTAAAGAGGAACTATTGCAAGTATACTTTAGGTGCAATTTAAATGTCTTGCATTTAAAGACTGATATTATGCAAATATAATACTATGCTTAAAGGAGAACTCCGGCGAACAATGAACCTTTTAATAAAAACGTCGGTACCTAGTCAACCATTCTCTGAGTTTTGTTTTCATGATAATCGAATGTAAAGAGTTTTATCTCTAAAAACTGTTTAGCGTATAATGCTAGTAATGGGGGCATTGAGTAAGTAAAAAGAAATCGCTAGTTTATACCACTAACAAGGCTCAAAATAGCCCCACACTAACACAGTAACATAATGAGGCTCCATACATGCAAAACGAAGCATTGAGAACTTTGTAAGTGTACAGACCGTTTAATAAGAAGATACTTTATGAAGACAGTTCACTTCTCGTATACAGACAGGAGCCATCTTAAAAAACAGTCTCGATAAGTCGACCCCCGAACGCCATAAATACAGTTCAGAAGTTCGTTGAACTTCATAGAGTTCAGATCACTCAGCACGACGTTCGTGGTTTGACTTATCGAGACTATTTTTTTAAGATGGCTCCTGTCTGTATACATGAAGTCAACTGTCTTCATAAAATATCTTCTTATTAAACTGTCTGTACACTTACAAAGTTCTCAATGCTTTGTTTTGTATGTATGGAGTCTCATTATGTTACTGTGTTAGTGTGGGGCTATTTTGAGCCTTGTTAGTGGTATAAACTAGCGATTTCTTTTTACTTAGTCAATGCCCCCATTATTAGCATTATACGCTAAACAGTTTTTAGAGATAAAACTCTTTACATTCGATTATCATGAAAACAAATTTCAGAGAACGGTTGACTATGTACCGATGTTTTATTAGACCAAAGGTTCATTGTTCGCCGGAGTTCTCCTTAAGGATATTAAAACACATTTTAGGCTCAATACTAGGAAATTTGCTTTGTGCAATAAGGAAGTACTCCAAATTAAATTGTATTTAGTATTTATATCGGTATATGTATCAAGCGATATCACAGTGAATATGTTAATGGATTTGTAGTATACTTAGTATGTGTGAAGAGCAGGATGAAGTCAAGGGACGTGAGAGAACGGCGTGAGGCAGGTGGCGTGATTAATGATGAACGACACCTGTGAGACACACCGGTCTCGTATCTTCACGGTCGTCGCTCGTCCTTTTTGCTTCCGCTTCTCCATGAGAGATATGAGACCAATGCGTCTCACAGGTGTTGTTCTTCATTAATCACGCCACCGTCGTGATTTTGTTGTACTATGCTGGAGTAAAGTTCAAAAATGATCTGTGTTTCCCATAGGATTTCGTAAAAATATGTTGGGTGGACCTCTGTCCCTCTAGGGGGATTCGTCGACACCCCCGAACATTTTGTACATTTTAAGGTTAAATGCTCAATCTGGTGCACTCTAAGAGCTCAAAATTAAGAGCTTCAACTGGCTTTAAAGGGATAGTTCACCCAAAAATAAAAATTCTTTCATCATTTACTCACCCTCAAGTTGCGTTTATTTGTTCTGCTGAACACAAAGGAAGATATTTGGAAGAATATTTTAATCAAACAGATCTTAATCCCCATTGACTACCAAGTACAGAACAAATAAACACATTGAGGTTTGGAACAACTTGAGGGTGAGTAAACTAAGATATAATTTTCATTTTGGGGTGAAGTAAACCTTTAACCCATGAACTGTGCACATTGAACAAAGAAAAAACATTGACTTGTACCTGGACATTTAAGATCGCTCATACATTTAGTTTTGAGATAGCATGTTCCTTGTCCACGGTCGGTGATGCAGGGAGTCTTGTGATTGGTTTTCAAGCCAGCCAATCAGAATTTAGCAGCCTCAACTCTGATTGGCTGGAATTATGGCATATTGTAATGCTGGGTTGTGTTGAGCACGCTTCGAGAGCGCTTATGGCTGGTATGAGAGAAACAAGAAATTGAAACATTGCACATGCGAAAGAGAACGTCTGTGCACATCCAAATACTTATTTTAAATGCAAAGTTGATTTTCGTTCGCTCGAAATATTTTCTTATCTGCGAGACGAACGCGCGTGAGAAATGCCCTTTTGCGCGATCAAAATGTGATCTTGCGCACGCAGAATTGTGACCGAAATCTAATCCCATAATAGGCTAATTCAAGTCTTTCGCTGTTTTATAAAGGCACAAAGCAATATCACTGTTTCAATTTGAGTTTGTTGGCAAAATATCACGTGGCTAGACAGTAGATACCTTTATGTTAGGCAACTGTAGGCAACTGCTTCTCCATCTTCCCACCGATTTCAAATTTCAGAGTGTCACGCGAGTCGCCATGACAGCTCGCTCTCGCTCACTGCGCAGGAAGCCACAGACACTGTTTTTGATGTGATTTAACATTATATTTTGATCGAATGGGTTGCAAAAATCTGCATATAATTAGGAAAGTGAGGAGTGCATTTATAACGTGATCTACCATAATATTTGACGGTGCCCAGGGCCCCTTAGATGTCATGGCAAGTGCCCAGTTGCCTTAATGGTTAATCCGGCCCCTGTGGTGAAATCCAAGTTTTTAATGTTGTTTAAATGTATATGTGGTGTTTTAAATATGCTTTAAGTGCAAATTCATAAGTCCAAACCACGGCTGAGCATTTTCACTTTTGCAACTGCAGTGAACTAAAGACAGTCTCAAAAACACAGTTTGAAATCGCTGGAAACTCTCTGGTGCGAGTGAGTGGAGACAGGGCTAATTTGCATATTCATAGAACTGTGTATACTAAATAAGGCAAGGGTGTAGAATTACATTCAAGTTATTTTAAAGGGTTAGTTCACCCAAAAATGCAAATTAAGTCATTAATTACTCACCCCCATGCTGTACCAACCCCGTAAGACCTTCGTTCGTCTTCGGAACACAAATAAAGATATTTTTGATTAAATTTGAGAGCTGTATACACCTTATTCAGAGCAGCGCCATGACAGGTATTAAAGTGAGGCTGTGAGGGATAGACTTACCGTGTTTCCAATGGCATCCGCTGTAAAAAGCTGAATAAAACTGCTAGATACTTACAATTTTCCACAGCTTACATTGTCGGGAGTTTTTTGTCAACTGAAATTTCTTGGAAAGATATTTTTTCAGTGTTTCATGAGCAGAACAATCCGAAAACATATTAAATAACAGTACAGCCCATTGAAGAGATGCATGACTATCCCTCACAGCCTCGCTTTCATTCTCATTAAAAATCAAAGATGGCGCTGCTCTGAATAAGGCGTATAACTACCACATTGGCTCCTAAGGGACTGCCTCTTGACGGCCCAGAAAGTCAATGAAGAAAATGTTTAAATATCCCAAGTGACTACCGTGGCTCAACTATATGTTTATCAAGCGACGAGAATACTTTTTGTGCGAAAAAACAAACAAAAATAACGAGTTTATTCGACTATTCCTTTTCTTCCTTGTAGGCCAGAAACGAGACTTCCTTAGATTTCCACGACGCATGCGCGAGAATTGCGATCTCCTTACACTACTTCAGTTCAGTTTCTCACGCATGCGTCGTGGAAATCTAAGGCATGACAAAAATTTTGTAAAAAAAAATCTTTTTTGGTGATCAAAGATTAGTTTTAAGCAGGCTCGGGTCTGTTGGGGGGCTGGGGAGAACTGGGACCTCATTAAATTATGGAATAATTGTAAAAAAATAAATTAATTAGGCATATTTGTGAAAAAAATGTAATATTTGAGTTACATAAAAGCTTTTTATTTGTTTTTTTCCTAATTGTCCTTGAAATAGTGGTCAAGAACGTTTATTAGTGTTGTCAAAGACCAGATACATGGGTACCAAGTCGGTACAATTTTTTTTTTTTTTAACGTTAAGCCATGATTCCAGTTTTTCTCAAAGCCGGTACTTGATGCACGTGCATCCAGTTGCGTCCTCTTCATAAAAGTGGTGAGACATTGCGACCGCCAGTGCTGCTGATGTGGTTGCTGTAAATCCACTTGTTGATAAGAAAGGAGGAAAGAGCCACTTATGGAAATATTTAGAATATTAGCTCGTAATAGCGATGCGGCGCGCTCGTTTTTACAGGCGCGCAAGTTCATTGTTGCATAGCAACGACAGACGCCACGGGAGAGCAAACACTTGAGAAAGCGGAGCGAACTGCACTCTCCATGATAATGAGGAAGTTTTAGCAAAGGATTCATTGATTTCTAGCCCTTGCATTAGCTTTACTACTAGATATATGGAGATGAGAAATTAAAAGCCGGCTGAAATGCGTCACTGTCGGCATCGGTGAACAGATAATGGGTCAGATCCGAGTCTATTTTTGCTGCGCTGCTCATGCTTAATTATAAGTGAAAGCACACTTTTGATGGACAAAATGTCTAGTATGGACAAAACTTTGCTTGTCTAGTGTGTTTTAACAAGAACTGCAGCTATGTCAGAAAATAAAAATTTTGAAAAAATTAAAAAGACATTTATAGAAAATGTACCCATTTAAACGTATTTTTATTATTCAGTTTCTGTAAAAGTATATGGTATTTTTATAAAAATAAAAAAATGGAAGTCTGCTGAAGATGGAAGAGCAAAGGATTGGAACAAGAGAAAAAGAGTAAGGGGAAAGGAGAGATCTGGGTATGGACAGGCCCATCTAAGATAATCTTGTCCCGGGCCCAGGCAAGACTGTCAGCTGGCCTGGTTTAAGGGATATCATTATTGACTTAAGGGGAATTTTGAGTGTGTTTTTTTTTTTTTTTGCATGGCGCTATGAGATTGCTAAAATAATTTGAATTTGAATAATTTTAGAATTACATTATGCAATTGTTAAGGTTTTTGGAGCAGTCTTTAGTATTTTGTTATGGAGTTGTGGATGGTTGCCACAACTTGCCAGAAAGCGATTATCAGAGTCCTGCTCACCTGTACAATGGGGTTTCCAGAGATTTGCTTGATCTCAACCAAAGGTTGTTCTTGACCCAGGTTAGACGCCACAAAGCTGAAGCCACGGAAGAGCTGGTGTGCGTTAGCGCTGGCTGGAACACCGGGCGAGTCTGTGGACACATACAGAGAAAATTATATTTAGAAAGGCAAAAAGGACATAGTCCCTGCATGAATGGAAACACACAATTGATCCCATCTGAGCAGTATGAATAGTATGTACTAAGTGGCAGGACCCGAGGGCTCTTGTAAACAGGTTCTGATGTTTCAGTTCACTCTAATTTGTTTTTGCACTTTCCCTGTGCTTGCTGGGCACAGACTGTTATGTAAGAATAGTTCCCAGCTCGCTGTCTATCACATTGTCTCTGTCATTTAAAAGCAAACACTTAACATTATTCTTCCATTGAATATTCTTTAAATAAAGCAGCATATTGAGTATTAATGAGTATTAATCTGAAAATCAACTGCAATTTGAATCACCTGTCGGTGTGCGGGATGTAAACTCAGGATCAAAATGAAATGTGTCCTCTGGTCGGCCCACTGCTGGTTTGAACGGAGGCTTGATTTCTCGTCTGTACAACTTCTGTTAACCAAGAAGACAGAAAGCCTATTTATATAACCCTTAGCATTAGCGTATTTACATATATATGCACATACACACACACACACACACATATATATATATATATACTTACATTCCAGTCTATTGTTGCAAAAAATATATGCCTCTTGATTTCTTCCACTCCATCAGGTCCTGCGCCTGGAGAACAACCAGAGGACAAACATCCAGTCAGCTAACAGATGGGATTCCCATGAAACATCAGTCTATCTTTAAGTCAGACAAATGTTAAAAAATCCTCTTTGAAAATCTTCTGCAGCTCAGTTTCCCATCCTGCTTGACATTGCTAACCTCCAACAAATAGGAATAAAAATGCTGTGCTAGAGTGCACAGCAAAGGGATCAATGTTTTGCTGGTTAGCATATCCCAGTTAGCCTAGCATCTGTCTGCAAAAGCATCTTCAACTGTTGACGGTGGTCATGGCTGAGCTCACGTTTGGCTGGGATTCCCAGTCTCGTTGTAATTGACTCTGTGCACGAGAAAAATGCTAACTTCCGCCTTGAGGGCGGATGTTGGGTACTTCGGTTCCGGTTGCCGTTGTTTACATCCTAAATCAGTGGACCGGCTATCTAAAGCTTAGCTATCTAAATATATTTGTCTAAAACTATGTTCGTTTGTTCATTGTCAAGTCAACCAACACAGTTTTCACTCATATTTGGGTGGAGCCTTTTCACTGCTGCATTGTGAAAAGTAAACGATATTTCACATTTTGTCACCGCACCCAAGCAGTCGCTTTACAGAGTGGAGCGTTGCGTATCCATGACAACTAGAAGGAAGTTTTTAGGCTACTAATTATTTATTATATTATACCCTTTAACCAGGAGAAGCCCCTGGGTTTAGAACCTATTTTGAAAGGGAGACCTGTTTAGAAATATGTGTGAACAGCCTAATATGTGTTAAACAGCCTAACTTGATAACGAACGAACCAACGTCGGATACCTTTACTCCCTGTATGACATGTAGTTGCTATAGTGGTTGTCAACACTGATCTATATGACATTCTATATAGATGGTTGTCAACAACATAGCCTCTGAACATCATAAACAAAACAATGGCCAACACAAACTGTTCTGGAAAATGCACTTTCTAACGCATGATTTCGCATTTTATAATGTATAGAGAGATATAACAGTTACCAAATCGCATAGCTTGAGCACGTAGCATGGCAACATTAATGTCCGAGTGATGATTCCACGTGTACCGCGTATGTACACGCCGTCAAATGTCCGAGCGAAACAAAACAAAATGTAGATCTACATCTGGGGAGCGATATTTATTTTTTCCTAGGATGGTAGGAGTGACGGGTAGGTTGGGGTTGAGGTAGGTCATATGCTATATATATATACACACTGTGTATAATATATACAATAATTACGTTAAGTCAACGGTATTCATAAACACGCTGAAAAGAGATTATGCGTGTTGATAGCATGCCAAAAATACGTGATACGTGTCATACATACGCAATTTCATGAGATCAGTCTGAGCATGGATGTTGTTGTGACTTAACGTTCCCTTCAAAATGATGCAAATACTGAGAAATGTAATATTTAACCCCTTCTCTCTTGCTCTGGGGAGCTGGAGAAAAATCATTAGCCAGTCGATGAACATAATCGACTGTAATATTCGGCAAATGTTCAAGACATCTGGAGAAACATACATCCTCTACGTCGTCCATCAGGCTACCGGAAACTAGACACCCCATATCGGTTTCGCAGACGGAACTAGCATATGCTAACGTGCACATAGTCCATAGTGACTTCTCTGATTGGCGGATCTCTCTTCGGGGCTATGGGTAGTGTAGTTTTCAGCAGGAATTTAACAATTAACACGTTTTGAAAATTAAGCTGAAACCAGGCTACAGACGCATATTTCATCATATAGAATACGTTCAACAATTTTTAACCAGTGTTGGATTGTTGTAGACTGATTTTTTTTTACCACCCACAGACAGTATGATTGACAGGGGGTGGAGCCAAAGTCCATCATAAGTGTTTGTTTTTGTGAAGTTCATGTAAAGTTTTCATGTTTTCAAGTTTTTGGCTAAAGAGAAAGCCACAGCCCTTTCTCTGTTTTCTCTGTTCCCTGCATGTTTCTACTGAATACACAGACCCATTTTTTAAAAGCATATCTGGCACAGTGGTAGTTTACCCCTTGTGTCCTGAAAAGTTAATATATGCTATCGCTAAAAATAAATGAATAGGATTTTTGGTTCCGGAAACCTATACTGTTGCGCTCCACTTGCACCTCATTAACTATGATAACATGCATATAAATTGTTCCCTTTCATTTTAGCATTCAAACTATGTTAGTAGTCATAGTCATACACAAGTGAGTCAGGACTTGATTTGGATGTATACACCTTAACGGGGATCAGAAGAGTACAAATCCACGGTCAACATCGGGTCTCTATGGAATTTATCTCTGCCTTATAAATTATGGATACGATTCACCCAGCTAAATTCAATTTCAGCTTGACAAACATTCAGCAGCAGCGTCTGGAAGTCTGACTGCAGTCATTCACACAGGAAATCATCTCTGACTAAAATGAGATTCATGCCCACTGCTGCTGTCATAAGAACAATGTACATTACTATGTTCAACTAAAAGAGGTATCACTGTGACCAACATCTGATGCATTTATTGAGCTAAGAGTGTCATATTATTTACACTGTCCTTGCTGGAAAAATAGATTAAACCAGAAATTTGCTGGTCTTAGCTGGCCCCTAGGCAGCTAGCTGGTCTAGTTAGATGGTTTAAGCCCAACGAAACCAATATAGATAAACTAAGACTACTAAACTACAATGGCTGGATTAAGATGGTCTTCTGGAGGAAGGATGGAGGGCAGATGAATAATATATTGATGTTTTTAGTTATGAACGGTAGCTTACCTAATCTATTGGAAGGGTTTCTTTTGAAGAGAGCCCGCAATAAACTCTGGACTTCAGGGCTAAGGAACTGCGGCATGCCTAGTTTTGCCCTGAGAAAAGAAATGAAACAAAAAACCCCACTTAATCTGCTATTATTTCAGAAAATACATAAGACTGTGATGCACGGCCACAAACATAATACATCATTTTGACAGATCCATTTATGAGGATAATTTATTACATTTATATTTTTATTTCTTATATTTAAACAAACAAACAACAACAACAACAAAAGAGAGCCTTTCAGAATGCACAAATACAACAATTCTTACTTGAGAATAAGTGCCATGGTCTCTTTGCGGTCTTTGCCTTGAAATGGCAGGGATCCAGTCAGCATTTCAAACTAGGCACAGTAATAGAAACATCAGGCTTTGCTCTAGCGAATTTATTTACGGATGGTACAATAATTGTGTATTCAGCACTGCTTCACAATATCAGCGCATACAAAATCCAAATCTGTCTCCAGTCAGCATGCTTACTCTTATGTAACATTGCTTATGTGAGTGAATTAATTTTAGGGCAAGGCTATTTGTAAGTCAGCTAGTTAAAAGGGCTGCAGTTTTTAAGTAAGATTCCACAAAACATCGACTGAGACTAGTCCAAATCATGCTTATCAAGTCAAATTTATATAGCGCTTTTCAAAATACACATTTTGCAGATTATAACTGTGCTTTAATGCACTTTATGAATGGTAAATAAAGTAGAACTTTGAACCCAATAATAATTTATCAACTGGTTACAGTCAACAGTCAGTATGTCCTGCATTCATTCATAAACTTTTTTAGGTTAAGTGAGTAATTTCTGTACGACAAAAGGCCACCCACATCAGGTTGTCCTGTTCTAAACTCACACCTTTGGCCATTTGTGATTTGCCAGCCCAATGGGTCAAGGTTTGGCAGCTTAGCATGGCTCAATTAGCCCCCATTGGTAGATTTAGTGGGGGCTGCTAAGCAGAAATTACATAGTTCACCTTTAAACATTTAAAATTCCCTTTAACTGCTATTTAAAGTCAGGTGTAGGTCACCGTGATTTTGCCAAGTAAGACATTTTTGTTGATCCTGGGTCAACATTCCTGTTCCAAAATATAGTCCTAACCCACTCCCTACCCCTAAACCTAAACCTACCCATATATTTTCCCTAAAATCAGAAGGTAATGAAAGGTTAATAACACTGATGTTTAAGTTCTTCACTCTGGTTCTAAGCCTAAACTTGACATAAACTGTAAACTTATCTCTCAAATCTGATTGGTTGATTGGAAAGTTGATCCAGGAACATGTGGTACTTGGTGAAATCACGTTCACCTATTTAAAGTCAGGTGTAATATCAATCTGAGCTCTTGTTACTTATAAGTGTGCATCTCTTCAAAAGTTATTTGTTCCGACAATGGCTGTGAGTCATTTGCTACTGAGGAAATGGAAATTCTCAAAGGACATACCCTGTTATAGAAGCAATTACCGGCAACAGCTCAAGGCAATAATATTAGGATTAATAGAAAAATATGTGGCCCAGTGCAACAGCAAGAAGATATCCACTCAAGTCCTTTATCTAGTGAGGAAGTGTCCCATCAATATATCATTTTTTAGACTCATTGCTAACTATATCATTAACCCAAAGTTTGTCAACTCTTGCTAATGCTGTTATCCATTCAAAGTCAGATTTGGGATATTCCTACTTAACATAAGGTGACCAGATTTCTAACATGGAAACCAGGGAAATTTTCTAATTTGGTTGTCTAAATGTCAATAAAATCTTACTTGTTATTACCAATTAATTAAAATTAAAATCGGGGACAATAAATACCAGCATTCTGCATCACCTTGATGCCGGACCGTTTGTGAACTCACCTTGTACGTGTTTTGGTCTCTTATATGTCTTGTTTTCTCACCTGTCTTCTGTCCAGCTCACTGATTTGGCTTTGATCCTTGTCTGTCACTATCACTCGCATCACAGCACTGGTGAGTCTTATTACATCTGGCAACCACGGGGAAGAACTGGTTTTCTACCCGTTTGACTCACTGGTCTGACTCACACCTGGCTCTGTTAACCCTCATGTTAACTGGGCGCCATTCTTGCTTGGTAATCATCTTGTCATACAAATTGTCCCCTTAGCCGCATGTTGATATCTTCCAGGTCCTGGAAGTTTATTTGCTTGTCGTCTTCAGTTGGTCCCATGCTTCCTCTCTTTAGGTGCATATTCAGTGCGTTAGGCAGATGCTGAAGAGGCTGTTGGAGAACCAGTAATTTATTAAGGCAGAGAAGGGTTACTTTCATGCCTGGTTGGTTCTGTTCTAGGGATCTATCATTTTGGTGGCTTTACCAAAAAATCGCCTCATGATGATATTACATCCCTGTACTTATTAGTATTTGGGGTGTTAAGGATCATATCAGGCAGGCCTTGAATGGAGGCGAGGTGCCCAGGGCTCATAAATCAGTCCGCCCCACAGTTTTTCAGTGGGGCCATTCCTCCAAACTTACTTGGCATCCAGGAGTGAGAAGGTCACGGTGTGTCGGTTTGTGCTCAAAATAAGACTTCTTAATTCCCCTCCTGTTGGATTACTCAGTCCCGTCCCCATCCCCTCTCGACTCTGGTCACATAATGCCCTGGATTTTTCAGCAGTCTTCACTTCATCCAGCAACAATACTGTGATCCTACAATGTGGTGGACCGCTTTTCTAAGGTGTTTCATTTCATTCCTTTCCTCAAACTACCCATTGCCAGAGAGACTGCACAGGTGGTCATGAACCACACCGTCTGGATTCACAGTCTTCCGTGAAAGAGGACCCCAATTAATCTCTCACTTTTGGAAAGACTTCTGTCATTACCCTTTCTTGTGCTGCCTTGGTTTTCAACCTCCTGTTTTCTCTCTAGGGAGCCGAAGCTGCCGTCATTTTGTAGCTAGACCGTCAACACATTCTCATCCCAAAAAGTCATATAACTGACGTCTTGGGACGTATTTTGACCATACGTCAATATCTGCCTTTTTAGGGCCCCCTTAAACGTCGGTAGATGGCGATCCCGGGCCGTCATACAACTGACACTTTACCTTTAACGTCAGTTAGGTGACGGGTTAGGTTTAGGTCTGGGGTAGAGTTAGGATCCCATAACCTCATCTACCGACGTTTAAGGGGGCCCTAAAAAGGCGAATATTGACGTATGGTCAAAAGACGGCCCAAAACGTCAGTTATATGACTTTTTGGGATGAGACTGCGTTGAGACTGTTGCACACTGCTATACCTGCTTTGGGGTTTCTTGCTCACTGCTTTGTTTGCTCACAAGCTGGCCTCGTGGTTCATTGGGCCATACCCAATCTCTAAGGTCATCAGTCCAACAGCTTTGTCTACCCTACATTCTTTGTTGTGTCCACCCATGTCTTTTATATCTCCCATGTCAAACCTGCCTTACATTCACCCCATTCCCCTCGTGTGTTTATACCCATGGCCTTCACCATTAGAGGATTTTGAATTCCACTTGGCACAGGCAAGGATTCCAGTACTTGGTGGATTGGAAGGGACACTCTCCGGAAGAGGAATGTTGGAACTTTGGTTGCAACTACTCAGCCGCATCCCCTGAGTTTGCGTCCCATTTCCTGTTCCCTGGCCCCAGTAAATATGACTTTAAGTGTTCATTTTGTGTTCATTTAGTAAGAAAGCAATAAATGGTCACCATGTATAGATCAGGGTTCCTCAAATTCAACCCTGGAAGACCACATCCCTGTAGAGTTTGGCACAACCCAAGTCAAAGACACAAGCTAATCAAGGTCTTCAGAGTTACTAATTACAGGTAGGCGAGTGTTTGAGCTATATTCTGCAGGGCAGTGGCCCTCCAGGGCTGAATTTGAAGAACCCTGGTCTAGATTATTATATATTTTAAAACTGTGATGATTTTAAATAATTGGTTTATGTACCTTTTAACAATAGCTATCTTTATAAAATAAAATAAAAATTATTTGAGGCAAAAAAAAACAAACAAACACTTTTTAAAAAATGTTTCAAGAGCAAATGCAAAAATATTAAGACTAATATCCAGTCAAAATGGTAAAATTAAGTTGTGTTCGTAAAAATTAAGTTTGATCATAACCATAAACATATTTCGAGAAAAACTAATAAATCTGGCGCTAACAACTTTAAGTTTTTGTTTTTTTTTAGTTCCAAAAGTATAGTTTAGGTCCAAAGTATAATTTTTTTCAGGGCATTATTCAATTGTATTATTCAATTATTACTAAGTGACAAAAAACTTTATGAGTTGAATGGAAAGCAGCATAGCAAAGCTAGTTAACGCATTTGAATAAAATCAAAACATAGTCTAACATTAATGAAATGTGCTTAATTTTGCTGTGAGAACCCCACAGATCTACGACCACATTATCCTCCATCCCTAGGCTTTAGATGTTCAACACTTAAACACTGCAGTGCTCACATAGCCGTCTATGATCCTTCACAATCTGCGAGGACACTTACCATTAAGACTCCAAAGGACCACCAGTCAGCACTTTGAGTGTGACCTCGTCTATTGACAACCTCTGGGGCCATGTACTCGATCGTCCCACAGAACGAGTACGCTCGTTTGTCATGGTCAATTGCCTCTTTGCTCAGGCCAAAATCTGAGAGAGCAGAGAATATATTAAATCATCAACATATGGCCACTTTAGTCGATGGCAAATGATGGACCGTGGCTAAAGCAAATACAATTTTGCTCACCTGTGACCTTTATGTGGCCTTCTTCATCAAGGAGAATGCTGGGAAAGTGAAGCAACAGTCGATTACATTTCATTTCTGTATAACTGTATAGAGAGCAGCTACAGCATTACAATTAGATAGAAAGGACATTTACTAGATCTTTACAAAAGTACAAACCTCTATATATCAATAACAAACAAAGAGTTAGTTGTTTATTTGTGCACAGAAATTCCAGAATATGAAAAGACATTAAAACTGTAAAATATTAAAACATTAAGACTATTAAAATATAAATCATTTAGTCTCCAACAGTATAAGATTTTGGTCAAACTGCCCATCCCTACCACTACACCCATTTTTATTGATAATTATGTTTATTTTCAAGAACAAAAATATTATTTTTTACAGACACAATTATTTTTTTAATTTGTTTATTTAAATGTCTCCCCTACTAACCCAGACCAGACTGCCTTAGAAGAAATCAATTAAACAGTTACAAATATTAAAAAATAAGTGAATAAAATTAAGAATTATTATATACATTTAAGTAAATATCAGAGAATAAGAGAGTTCAACAAGGTAAATGCTACACTTTTTAATTTTGCAGGGATGACAAGATTGAGGATGTATATGTTCTTAATGCATGTACTGGTGCAGTCTTTAGGATACTGGTGCCTTTGCCTTTGCCTATTAATCACCTATGACAGGTCTCAGAACAGTGTGCCCTTAAGGAATATAGAGCCCTCCATTGAGCCCACCTCCATTTCAACTTTAAAGATGAGAACCAGACAGAATATCTCTCATTCTGACTTTTATTATTCCCAACAATGAATTTCCCACAAGAGCCAATTCAGTGTGCAGGTGAGCATGGTTTTAGTCCAATTTTTGGGTAGATATGAGAAAGTAAAGCTCTGAAAGAGCATTACTGTATAGGAAGGATTATATTAAAGAGATAGTAGTCGTACACGGCTCAAATATTCCCCGCTGTAAAAGTTCTTCAAAATAAGAAAGTTCTTAGGGTACATTATAAGAGTCTGAGGAAGTGCTATTTTTTTTCTTAAGGACATCTTTATATTCTTGTTAAGAATAACATGACATGCTTTGACATACTAGCCTACTCATGTGATTGTCTTGTCTATTAAAATAAATTTAATTCTTCAACAATGTAATAGCTTATTGATAAATTCATCCTTTTCTTTAAGAGTTCTCTCAGGCTCTCTCTATCTGCTGAACACATTTTTTTTTTCTTGATTGCGATTTGACTTTTTTCATTTTAAATAGTGTGTAATGTTGCTGTTGGTGCATGAACAGTATCTGCAAAGTTGCAGTGCTGAAAGTTCAGTGTACGCAGAGATATCGTCTTTTAAAAATATATCGTCCTTTTAAAAAGTATATTGCCTACAAAAACGACTCGATTGGGACTACAGCTGGGTTTTAGATGTCACTAACCCATACATTTGCACATATTTCTGCGGCTGGTCGAGTGTGTTGTGTTCACCAAGCTGTCAGGTCTTCTGTGTTCGAGCTTCCCACGGACGCTGTACTTCGTCAACAATGGATACAATTTATGTTTGATTATTTTCCTGAAAATGATGATCGTAATTTAGCTCTCTGTGCTGCGCATTTTACGGAAGACAGCTTTCAGAATCTCAACGAATTCAACACCGGATTCAACAAGAAACTGTTACTAAAACATGAAGCAGTTCCAACTTTAAAACCAAAGGCAGCAGTTGTTGGGCCACAACCTGTAAGTAGGCTAAGACTTAATCATTTTAAATGTATTTGCATGTATAATTCCAGACGTATCCATGTGTTTATTTTTTTCAAATGGCAGCGCTGGCTTTAGCCACTAGGCTACTAGTTATGCTATTCTGTGTCTACGACAAACGCGTACAAACATTATGGACCTGAATTTTGTATAAGTACTAATGTTTTAAACGTATTTTTCATGTATATATGCTTTATGACGTTATTTTCGATTTGATCAAGACCGTAAACTAATGCCAACGCTGTTTGAGTATAACATTAGTAGCCAGTCAGTTGCTATTGTTGCCAGTCAGATGCTATTGTGTAAAACAAACGTGTATAAAGTTCAAAAATGTAGCAAATTATCATTCAGAAATGTTTAGTAAGAGCCGTGTGTGGTGAGGTTCTGCTTGACTCTTTCATCGCCGCTTTCTCGGTCTGATTCTGCCTCAAACTGATACTGAAGTTCGACACCATTATTTACATCTGAGCGCAGGCACTTTTCGCCCCGTAAAGGTAATGCGCGTGAAGTATCCGGACAACGTGAGCGACAGTTTAGCCAATCACACCAGCCCAAACTAACCAATCTGAGCCCACTGCCTGTTTCTGAGGGAGTGGTTTCATAGACTCAGGAAGTCGACCGCTCCTTCAGGGGACAGAGGAGAGCGTGGCTTACAATAAAGTTGAAGTTTATGAAAAATAAGACTTTTTTTAAAAAGAAAAACCACGAATATATGTTATATTGCACCCCATAAACAGAATCATGCAAAGAAAAAAAGCAGTCAACCCCCCTTTTAACTGCGATAATTCTATGTGGCATTGATTCAACAAGGTGCTGAAAGCATTCTTTAGAAATGTTGGGATAATAATGACAGGATAGCATCTTGTAGTTGATGGAGATTTGTGGGATGCACATCCAGAACGCGAAGCTCCCGTTCCACTACATCCCAAAGATGCTCTATTGGGTTGAGATCTGGTGACTGTGGGGGCCATTTTAGTACAGTGAACTCATTGTCATGTTCAAGAAACCAATTTAAAATGATTCGAGCTTTGTGACATGGTGCATTATCCTGCTGGAAGTAGCCATCAGAGGATGGGTAAATGGTGGCCATAAAGGGATGAACATGGTCAGAAACAATGGTCAGGTAGGCCGTGGCATTTAAACAATGTCCAATTGGCACTAAGGGGCCTGAAGTGTGCCAAGAAAACATCCCCCACACCATTACACCACCACCACCAGCCTGCACAGTGGTAACAAGGCATGATGGATCATGTGCTCATTCTGTTTACGCCAAATTCTGACTCTACCATCTGAATGTTTCACCAGAAATCAAGACTCAGACCAGGCAACATTTCTCCAATCTTCAACTGTCCAATTTTGGTGAGCTCTTGCAAATTGTAGCCTCTTTTTCCTATTTGTAGTGGAGATGAGTGGTACCCGGTGGGGTCTTCTGCTGTTGTAGCCCATCCGCCTCAAGGTTGTGCGTGTTGTGGCTTGACAAATGTTTTGCTGCATACCTCGGTTGTAACGAGTGGTTATTTCAGTCAAAGCTGCTCTTCTATCAGCTTGAATCAGTCGGCCCATTCTCCTCTGACCTCTAGCATCAACAAGGCATTTTCGCCCACAGGACTGCCGCATATTGGATGTTTTTCCCTTTTCACACCATTCTTTGTAAACCTTAGAAATGGTTGTGTGTGAAAATCCTAGTAACTGAGCAGATTGTGAAATACTCAGACCGGCCCACATGGCACCAATAACCATGCCACGCTCAAAATTGCTTAAATCACATTTCTTTCCCATTCTGACATTCAGTTTGGAGTTCAGGAGATTGTCTTGACCAGAACCACACCCCTAAATGCATTGAAGCAACTGCCATTGGTTGATTAGATAATTGCATTAATGAGAAATTGAACAGGTGTTCCTAATAATCCTTTAGTTGAGTGTATATAACAGTTTCAAAGTTTAGAATGTAAGATTTGTTCATGCTTCTGAAAGAAGACAATCAAAACCAATTGATCAAAAAATACAGTAAAAACAGTAATATTGCGAATTTAAAATATATATTTTTTCTATTTTTATTTTAATTGTCTTTTTTATTCTTGTGATAGAAAGGCTGAATTTTGATCATCACTACTATTCAGTCTTCAGAGTCACGATCCTTCAGAAAATCATTATAATCTGCTGATTTTGTGCTCAAAGAAAATTTCTTTGTTTTATAATGTTGAAAACAGTCGTACAGCGTAATAATTAATGGAAACCTTGATACACGTTTAATGGAAACTGTGATACATTTTTTCAGGATTCTTTAATGAATAGAAAGTTCAGAAGAACAGCATATTTGAAATGTAATCCTTTGTAACATTATAAAATTATATTTAATAGTTATTACTATTAATTTTTTACTAAGCCCAAACTTTTGAACAGTACTGAATGCTGCTAGTTTTTTATATTGCTGTAATGCTTAATATTTAAAACAACCCAATACATTTTTTTTTCTACAAAATATAGTTAAGAATGTTATTTCCTAAGAATTGTACTTTTCCTGACAGCATTTTCACCAAAAGGTTTATTTTTCATTATTACCACATTTATGTATATCTGTTAGAAAAAAAAAAAATACTATAATTTTCATTTTTCGTAACTATGATGATGGCATACATATTATACAGATTACATATTATTGTTGAGCCGTGTACATATTTCAGTCTATTGTAAGGGGAAAAGCTTTGATAAGCACTCTAAAATCAGCAGAAGTTCACAAAACAGATGCAAGTGTATAAAAGCAGGAGCAGCACAGGAAGCTCTCTGGTTAGTTGCATCACCCAGTATGAACCTCTGAATTATGACTGTAATTACATGAGAGTTTCACAGAGATCTCTTTGACTCTAATCCAGATGAGGATTATACTGCTGCTTGAAAAAAAAAAAAAACAGCACTTAAACCCTCCTGAACATCACATCCAATCAAGGTTGCGCTAAAGGTTATCAAAATAAGGTCACTCTTGTGGCCTTTCCGGGCATAAGGTCACTATCTAGGGCATTTAAATAGGCTGCAGTGTAAATTAGAACACATGATCGCTATTTACTGATAATAATATACATGGGGCTTGGTCTTACTTCTCTGGTTTTAGATCTCGGTAGATGATGCCCAGACTATGAAGATGATCCAAAGCCAAGGCCAGCTCAGCCAAATAGAACTTCACATCTTCTTCTGTAAACATAACCTAGAGAGAAAAAAATATCATAACTAATTTTTTCATTTAGCTGTTGCTTTAGCAGAAATACAAATCCTTTTAGGATTAGGGATTTGAACAAGACCAGTACATTTTGTCATGTAACTCGTTCTGCACAGTTTGTGCTATGGACATAAATGATACCTCAAACCATGCAGCTTATTGAGGGAAGGTGTGCTATTACTTTTTCTCAGAAATGAGACTTATGACCTGAAAAAAATCCCACACACTACAGACTTGTGGGTGGGCTCTTTTTGAATTTTGTAAAACAAACACCCAGCAACCCCATAGCAACTCCCTGGCAACCATCCACAACACCACTTGTACTATAAGTTTAATCTAGTTTTTCAATTAGCTGATGCTTTTCCTCAAAACCTACAGTAAAGGTTATTACAAAGACAATCCTCTTGGGCTTTTGTAGATAAATGTATCTCTCAAACACTAGGTTTCACCTCAGTGTGAAATGATCACTCATTGCGATATTGCTTTAAAAATATTCCAGATCACTTCTTAAAATAGTATTATCAATTCGATATGTTCTGAGTCACTTAATGACTATTTAGCAAGACTCAACCTGCAGTTTTAAAATGCGAAATATATTTATGGTAATACACTTAGAATTGAAAACAAAAGCTGGTTTCAGCATATTCCTTTTATGCAGGACCTGCCCAAAGACAGATCTTAAATAAAACTACAGGAACACAGTGTTCTTGTATTTGGAAGGCCCCAAACTGCTCTTTTCACAGCTAATTTTAATCACGGGGAGATTTATTTAGACTGGGTAGAGAGCATCAGGGGAGAGACAGTGCCATATTGAGGAGCGTACATTGGCGTAACAAGTTCCAGCCAGGAGAGCAGCAGCTGTTGCAGCCAGATGAGGCATTTGAGCACCAGCGGTAATTAATTTACGTCTCACTTCCCAAGCATGGTTCTGCTCAGTGAATCACAATTAAATCAAGAGCACAAATCTCTAGGTGGAAGTGCTCCAGTTTCTTTTTTTAATTCCGAGGGACTGATTAGAAGTAAATGTGCAGGAGTTGCTCTTACATTGCAATGAAACTGTAATTGTCTATAAACCTTTTTGTTCAATGAAATCTCTAGTGAGATGAGAATGTCCCTCACCCCAAAACCATATACCATTGACTAGCATTAGCAAATAGGCAATCAAAGTTTATTGCTGTTATGTAAACTAAAGGCTATTGACTATTTGAAAATGACTTGGCCAATTATTTAACGATGTTAATTATGTATATAGAAACATTGTATACATATATATAGTTGATCGCAAAGAATGCAAATATATACATACTTATTCAATTAGTTTGAGAGCAAATGAGGACTGTTTTATCATTCACATGGCTTCTTTCAGCATAATTATGCTTGTGTTCTCATTTACATTTACATTTATTCATTTAGCTGACACTTTTATCCAAAGCAACTTACAATTGCAATATATGTCAGAGGTCGCATGCCTCCGAAGCAACTAGGGGTTAAGTGTCTTGCTCAGGGACACATTGGTGTCTCGTAGAGGATTCGAACCCGTGTCTCTCACACCAAAGGCATGTGTCTTATCCACTGCGCCATCACCACCCCTTGTTTCTTTTCTCTGATTGGTAAAAAATTTCTTTGCAGAATCATGCAATGTCATTTTTCTCCTGGACTTCCACTGTTGAATATGATTATTTTTAAAAATACGTTGAAATAATGCAGTCTTATGGATTCAAATAAGTTATCATTAAAAATCACTTCCTTCAGAGAAAATAAAGGGCATTTTTACTTCGGGAACTTGACTTTTACACTCCATAACAAGGTCCACAATAGGTTTCCATGTATTCAAGGTCAAAAACACTTTTTTCATAATATACACCGCAGGATCGCATCTTTTCTCAAATTGTCTGAAATGTTTCAATCATTGATCCGGTCTCTCTAAACCCCTCCTTTCCGAGCGCCTACTTTGCTCTGATTGTTCAGATGGCCTGCTCTGATTGGTCTACAGCTTACAGCACATGTCCGAAATGAAACACCCATTGCTATATCTGAATTTTAGCTCTGGAAACTTCCTCAGGATTTGTGTACACAGTGATATGAACAGTCACAATGGACAACAGTCACAAATATAAATTCAACATGGCGACAGTAGCATACATCAACCATCAGGGTGGTCTGCGCTCCCGCCGGATGTTGCAACTCGCACGCCATCTCTTATTGAGTCAGAAGCATCTGAGGTCGCTTTGTGTAATTCACATTCCTGGGAGAGCTGAATCGTGCCGCCAACGAGCTCTCAAGACTTCGGCCATATCCCTGGGAATGGCAGGTCCCTTTTGGTTGCACCTCATTGGCCCAACCGGACTTGGTTCCCCGAACTGGTGCTTTTTTGCGACTGCCCAATTCTTCTGAGGAGGTCCTTCCTCAGAAGAGTGCACCCTTTGGCACCCGGGTCCCGATCTCTGGAATCTGCACATGTGGTTCCAGGATGGGACACGGAAGGTTTTAGTACCCTACCATCTCAGGTGGTGGCTACCATCACTTCAGCTAAAACCTTGTCCATGAGACAAGCCTACGCTCTGAAGTGGAGCTTCTTCGTCACCTGGTGTTCTTCTCGCCGAGAAAATCTCAGAAAATGCCCAATCAGGTCTGTGCTCTCCTTCCTCCAAGAAGGGCTGGAACGAAGGCTGCCTCATTCCAACCTGAAGGTTTATGTGGCTGCGATCTCTGCGCACCAAGACATTGTGGAGTCTAAGATGGACAGAGTCATCAGTTAAATCCTCCCCGCCCCCTCGTATGCCCTCTTGGGACCTTGTGGTGGTTCTATCTGCACTTCAGATAGCTCAGTTTGAGCCATTGCACTAAGTTGAGCTTAAGTACCTCTCTACGAAGACGGCGCTCCAGGCAGCTTTGGCCTCCATCAAGAGGTTAGGGGACCTGCAGGCATTTTCGGTTGACGAAGCGTGCCTGGAATTCGGGCTGGCTAACTCTCACGTCATCTTGAGACCCCGGCCTGGATACAGTGGTATGAATAAGTTTTGGCACCCACGCTAAAGTTGCCTAAAAAGAGGAATAAAAAAATCATCTTTTGGATATTGATCTTAATGCCTTAATTAGAAAAATGAGGAAAACTCCAACCTTTAAGGACACAAATTTTCTTTGTTAATGAATAATGTATCATAAATAAATAAAAGTTTTTCCTTAAAATACAGGGTGCATAAGTCAGGGCACCCCTATGTTAAATTCCCATAGAGTCAGGCAGATTTTTATTTTTAAAAGCCAGTTATTTCATGGATCCAGGATAATATGCATCCTGATAAAGTTCCCTTGGCCTTTGGAATTAAAATATCCCCACATCATCACACACCTTCCACCACACCTAGAGATTGGCATGGGGTACTTTCCATAAGATCATCTTTCAATGCAAATCAAACCAGCTATTCGGCTAACTGAAGTAAAACCATGCCAATCTCTAGGTGTGGTGGAAGGTGTGTGATGATGTGGGGATATTTTAATTCCAAAGGCCAAGGGAACTTTATCAGGATGCATATTATCCTGGATCCATGAAATAACTGGCTTTTAAAAATAAAAATCTGCCTGACTCTATGGGAATTTAACATAGGGGTGCCCTGACTTATGCACCCTGTATTTTAAGGAAAAACATTTATTTCTTTATGATACATTATTCATTCACAAAGAAAATGTGTGTCCTTAAAGGTTGGAGTTTTCCTCATTTTTCTAATTAAGGCATTAAGATCAATATCCAAAAGATGATTTTTTATTCTTTTTTTTAGGCAACTTTAGCATGGGTGGCAAAACTTATTCATACCACTGTATGTGCCCAAGGTTCCCTCCACTCCTTTAAGGGATCAGGTGGTGAACCAGCAAGCGATACCCTCAGTGAGGCGGATCCAGCCTTGGCACTGCTCTGTCCAGTATGTGCCCTTCATGCTTACATAGACAGTACATGGTGTTTCAGGACCTCAGACCAGCTCTTTGTCTACGGAGGGAAGCTGAAGAAAGGCTGGGTACATCTTACACTTTTGCGAGATTCTATAATCTCTGTGTAGAGCCAGTGTCCTCTCTAGGGCTGCAACAAACGATTATTTTGATAATCGATTAATCTAACGATTATTAGAACGATTAATCGACTAATCATCTATTATTTTGCCAGCTAATCATTAAGTTTGGAACGATTATTCAGCGTTTTCAATTAGTTAAAATATTGAGTTATACATATTCTTACTATAATATAAAAAAGAAAATCAGTTCAGCTTTTGAAACAGTGGTTTTAATGATCTTAGAGCCAACTAAACAGGTCATTCTCTTTAAGTTTAACTCAAATGACACACAAATGCTCTCTAAGCATTGTTTAATAAGCCCACTGCTTTTCATAGAACTGAAACAGAAAAAGGGTCATTACTTCAAGACACAAAAAGGGTAAAATATTAATCTGCAAACCATTATTATTGATATAAAATTAGAATAGTTTTTTTTACTTGAGAATTGAGCTGACAGAGATGTTCTCATTCACCTTTTAAATTTACAGAATGAAAAAGAAAAAGTAACTGCCATGATATTATTCCTAACATCTCCTTTTGTAAGTCTTCATGATTATGGAACAAAATACATGCAAGTAATAAGTAGGGTTGGGTATCGAGAATCGAGTATCGATTGGAACCGGGACTAACTTTTCGTTTTTCCCAGAATCGTTCAAAAGTTAAAATTTCGATTCCTAGTTTCGATATTCACAGTCCGCCGAGCGGAAGAAGTAACTGCTGAACGACACCAACGAAGAAGCGTCTACCGGAAGTGTTGGCATAACCGCGCGAGTCGAACATGAGTAGCTTACGTCGGCGGTCCAAAGTGTGGCTTCACTTTTCTAAAAATAACGAAATCTCGGCAAAATGCAAAATTTGTGACAAAAGGAGTATTTGTGACAGAAGGAGTATTTCCTTCCGAAAGACCGTTGGTTAGCAAGGTTATTTAAACTTTTTTGACCCTGC